TCTTGCGGGAGTTACTTCACTGATTTGGTATTCTCAAGAAAATAGTTAGTCGACATGCTCCTGCGAAATGGATTCTATCGTTAATAGATATGGAATACTTCCGCTAATATAGAAAATGAGAGATATGAGATACGTGTTCATCTGAAGGACATCCATCAAACAAGTTTTGATTAATTGCGCGAGATTATTTCAACAGCTTAATTGACATTTATTTCGACAAGTGCAGTAATACAATAAGAATGAACTATGTGTTATCAACCTGATGTGTTTAAAAAATAGATATGTATATATAACAGCGCGAGATCTATTATCAGATATGAAGAGTACAGGTTGAGATTAGATTTTCTACAGATGAAATATGGAAAAAAGCAACAACAAAAATGGCGAATATTTCATAAAAATAATACACTTCAAGCAAATGAAACTAAACACTTGATCGTTCTTTCGTTGTTCATTCATTGAGCAATGATTATTTCTTTGGTGGAGTATATGTGATTTTCGAGCGAAGATCGAACACTAAGTCCTGATCATTCCATTCCGCTTTATTATCATCAGGATCTTCATCAGCATCGTGGTCGTGCGTAACGTAGAGAGGTAAGTCGGGGGATACTTGCATGGATAATGAATGATTGAAGCGAAGCATAGGCGTAACATTTTGATCGAATGTGGAACGACGACGATCCGGTGCATTGTGCTGCGATGGATCGTCACCCCACGATTGAAAGCGCATTGGCTCTTCGGGATCGACAGTTGATTCATGAGGCATCTAGAAGAGAGCATATGAATTGAAAGGACATGTTTAGCAAAATGATCACATACGAGTTGAGGCACAGCACGAAAGAAATAAAAGAATGGATAGTAGACGAGATTGACTGCTGTTGACGCATAAATATCAGCAAATCGTGTTACTTGTGATGCGAAATGCGTTTGTCGGGAGCCTTCACAAAAAGAAAACATCAAAGAATAATCAATTAGCCGGAATCATTGTCTACCTGTTCGAAAAAGAGAACCCAAAAGACCAAAGTTCATATCCAATTCATGAGTACATTGCTAAAGCATCAAACAATCTTCTCCATCAATCGAACAAGTACTTGAAACACAACAAATTACCTGAATCTTTTGTTTAATCCTGTTCACTGCATCCGGTCCATGATTCGCAGTCATATCGAATGATCGCAGTAATTCACTAATCGATGTATCCAATGATTCCAATGTATTAAATATGTCGCGTTTTTCATGGAAAACTTTCAGTTCATGGTTTAACTCAGGTACAACAAGCATCGTTCGCCAAGCTTTCTGCTTTTTCGATTTAATGATATCACCGAATATATGATCACCGACATATAAAACATCTTTGCCCATCGAACCGATTAATTTTGAAACGACTTCACAAGATCCGCCACTGTAGACTTCGTTTTGTTGTAATTGGCCCGAATAAGAGCCCAACTTCATGCTACCTGTTTGAGGATCGATGATTCTTAGTGTAGTGCCTTCGGCAAAAAACAACGGTTTTTGAGCATCAACAATGATAAAATCAAAGTAAGACTTCCAATCGCGTTCAACGTTATTTTGAACGCCATTCAACAGATACGTCATTAACTTTTCTGTATACCAATATTCACTGTTTGTTAATAAGAATGTTTTTGCATTGTGAGAGCGAATACTACAAATGAATGCTGAGAATGATCGGATCATGTCAAGAAAACATTTTACCGATCCAATAAGACGGGTAGTTGTGCATCTTTATGAATGTATCTTTCAATATCTTGAGTAACCATTTCTTTGAGTTTGCCCTAAGATAACAAAATCCGACGATGATGAAAACTTGAATGATTAATGAGTCGATTCTACTTTGCCATGAACACGTTCAACTGAATTTCGAACGTCATTGAATATTGCACGAAATGAGAGAATATTCCCACCAAATTCAACGGCTGTTCGATCTCTAGAAGAAGAAGAAGAATCAATCAAATTATCATCGACAATTACTTCAATTACAACGTGTCTTATTTCACAACAGTAAAACAAGAAACGTCGTAATTTAATTGTTCGCCGAAAGAGAAAAAACTTCGACAAACGTCTAGTGATGAATTCAATTTTACTCGAACGTGTAGATGATCATTCATGAGCGAAAGATACATACTCAACATAAGTAGCCATGGTGGAGAAGTAATCGATTAAACAAGCCATGAGATAAATTTCTAAACTCAAACCGCTCTCATTGCATTTCTGCACTATTGTTCATTTAATCTTACCTGGTAAATTGAAAAGTGTGTAATGTACATACACACGATCATCACAAACGATGTATTTGTTTGGATAGATTTCACGAACTTCATGCCTGTAAAAACGAATGATCACAATCAAGATGAAACGAGTGAAAGCGATTTACCCCGTAAGAAATCGAAAGCCGTGAACCACAGTAAGAATGTTTCCGTACGCATCGACTTTCAGAAAGTTACCGTATAATTTATCGTACCAGAGGCCACTGAATAAAAAGTAAACGGTGAAGAATATGTAGACCGGTAATAATTTACCGGAGAGGAAATGTGCGGTCGTAAATGAATTGTCGGATTTCTTCTGGATAGCCTAGCCCGATGACTTCCTCGGTTACCAACTGAAACGTAAGCTCTTCAAATTCGGGAGATTTATACAAAGCTAATGTATAATCCATATCGAAGCCGTAGAATCGAATTCGATCTAACTGCAAACTTCGATTGACGAAGATACTAGAAATAAAGACAAATGTGGTACTTAAAAGTAAATTCGACCTTCTCTCGTCTTACCGATGGCCTGGTTCACGTTTCGTTTTCATATTTCGTTTCTAAATCAGTCGAGAGAGAAAAACAAGTCATCGAAAAAAACGTTTTCTAAATAATTGTTTTACTCGTAGTTCACTATCAGACGAAAGTGATTCTCGTGCCACATCAGTTCGCTTCATCTGGGGATCTTCGTTATCTTCAATCTAAACAAAATTGAACATTTTCAGTCGTTTTCTCTCGTCATATGCCGATCTACAAACGATTATTTACCATTTTCTGTTGCACTTACACAGCAAAAAACAAACCAATGTTATAAAGAACAAAAATCAAATATACTAAAGGGTCGTGTAAACGCAGTCAAGGACATTTATTTTGCTTGTAACGCACGATGTGTATCTATTGTAATGTGATCGAGAAAAGATTGGGCGTGTTTCGTATTCGATGAGTTTGATAGGTTGTTCTTTTTTGCTTTCTTCGTCTAAGATAAATAGCCTTATCGTCTACAACGGCAACAATCACCTACGATAGCTTGAAAAGTGTCATCTACCTTCTTGCAGATTAATAAACGCAACGTCTCATTCATGACTCGAAGATGATCATCCGGTTTAGAATTAACTAGTAGCTTCCATACTGTTCTGGAGATACTTGACGAATATAAACGTGCACTTAACCTCGTCTCAATCGGTTTAGATTCAACAAGCCACTTTCGCCTAGAAACTCCTACTTTAACACTGTTTGACAGTTCACATTCGTTCACTTCTAATGAACACTTGGTAGTTAACTAACATCATGATGAAAATAGTTCTGTCGTAATTCTTCTAAGACTTCAAAAGTATTATGCTACGAGCTTTTCTTTTCTTCTTCGTCGTCTTCTTCTTCTTCTCATTCTTCAGAACTCACATCTTTTTATGATTTACTTGTCACAATGGAACACCAACGAATTCCAAATGGTTTTATTTATGATGCACTTGTCCGTGCTTGCATAAATGAGAAGAAAAGAAGTACATTCTTTTTTGCTGGGTACTAGTAGCATTCAATCATTTTCACAGATGAATTCCACCAATGTTAGAAAACGTACCATTCGACAACTAGCGCTACTATCGTTGAGAAAAAATGATTTTCGCGGAAAAATGATAAATTTGTCAGTTTTAAAAGTTTTTATTTATCGGAAAAAAATTTTCGATTATTCAAAAGGTCGCTTTCGGCACGACCAATCATATTCGAGATCCATAAACATCCAAGATAGTGGGTTTATGGATGTCGATCATTTGCCGATTGTAATTTCTTCACTGACTGCATTTGTTTTATTTATAGATATTTATCAATATCCATCATGCAGATTTTCGTCAAAGTAATCAGAGAAATTCGTCATTCCTACGCAAAAAAACCTCCGTTTTCTTTCTAGACTTTGACGGGTAAAACAATTACCCTTGAAGTAAGTTCAAAACTCGATCTTATCCAATACACGAATCGGAAAACTTGTACTTTTTTGTTTAAAGGTCGAACCATCGGACACGATTGAAAATGTAAAAGCAAAAATTCAAGATAAAGAGGGTATTCCACCCGATCAACAACGCTTGATTTTTGCTGGCAAACAACTCGAAGGTAAAGCATCTCATTTTGCACAACAAATACGCCAAATCGACTCATTTCAGACGGACGTACACTTTCGGATTACAATATCCAAAAAGAAAGTACACTTCATTTGGTTTTACGTAAGTAACTCAACGAATAACCGGTTCGTCTCTATGAAAAACCTTTTTTTTATCACCTGAAGGACTTCGTGGTGGTACAATTGAACCAACTCTTCGTATGCTTGCTCAAAAATATAACTGCGACAAAGTTATTTGCCGAAAGTAAGATTTGCTTGATATTCGTTGTCGTCATGAACTTCAGATCATGTCTAGATGCTATGCACGACTTCATCCACGTGCTGTCAACTGCCGTAAACGTAAATGTGGTCACACCAGCAACTTACGACCAAAGAAGAAACTCAAATAAACGATCGATGATGGATCTTTTTTTGTTTTCGCTAATCGAAAGAAAAAAACATCTGTTGAAATAAGACAACAAGAATAAAAAAAATCGATCATATCTGGATGATTTTCCTTTTTCTCCTCGAAGTATCGCAAGGCATTAGTATTTTATCGTCTAATAAGAATATTTAACACAGATGATTATCGCAGATGAATACGAGAATAAACATGTACAAAATCAAAAAAAAGAAAAAGCTTCGTTTTAGTCTGAGGAAAATTTCTCTGCCATAGTTTCTTCGATAACCATATACATATACGTTTGAGCTCGATCTAATTTGTTCAAATAGTCTTTCAAATCAGTTTGACTACCAATTAATCTTGGCTGGGATAATTTCGAATCGAGATTATAGTAATGTTCACCATCGACGCTTTTTATCGTCAACCAGTGTCGTCCAGGTTTTGTCCATGAACTTACCAATGGTAAACGATCAAAGAACGGTCTGTCGAGAGTTATATTGAGCAATAAACCAAAGCAATCTTTGAAATCAAACGCATCTATGGATTCGTTCATGTCGATAGCACGTAGTGTATAACCTTGTTGTTTCAATGCGTCGAGGATGATTTGTAGATCGTAATTGCCTGTGAATAAAGTTGAATATTCATTACAGCACCAAGATGTATCGTATTGACGTACGATAGTATCGAGCATTTGCTTGTTAAACTGATGCTTTTGAAAAATATTGTTCAATGAATGTAATGCACAGAGTTGCAATTTCTGCCGCTCATGGTATAACTTTGGCTTTTCTGTAGTCATCGCGTTTGAACACCGAGCCCACTAGTAGAAAAAGTGCTGCATGATCTGAAAAACCAATCGAATGTTGTTCACATGTCGCAAGAAATTAGAAAAAAAAGTTATGTGAATGAATAACTGCAGATACGAATGTTTTTCAATACTGTAGTCATCAATGAGAATAGACAACGAATAGAAATCGTCTAGGTTTCAACATCATAGGCGACTACTGTCATCTATCTTTACTCATTATCATCAACAATTTCTTCCCTTAGTTTTCCTTTTCCAAACGTAAAATATTCTCTCTGTAGGTGAAAAGGAATGACAAAACTCCTCTGGTTTGTTGATGATTACTTACTTAGCTAAATGAACGTGTTTTCCTATGAATTGTTGACAATACAAGTAGATCTTTCATCTATTTATTTCCCTTCCGTCAAAAAATAACTGCGCTTAACTGAGCAAGGAAAAGAGAAGATATCTGTTTCTGTGACTTTGTGTTTAATTTTCTTTCATGATGAAGAACGTACTTTTGACAGCGTCATTTTCTATATGCGACATGTTTTCTCGTCGACTATGCAGGAAAATTCACAAGCATATTTCATGATCTTTTCTCAGATTTTTCTCGAGAAGAAATACTAGTTATGATCTGTACTGTATACTCAACATCGAACACATAGGTGAAGACAAGGAGAGTGGTAGTAGAAAAAGAAGAAGGAGAGACAAATTTACTGCCATATAAATTGACATTTTATATTCAAATTTTATTTGCTTGGGGAAGAATACTTTTCATTTTATTTTAGAATGAGTGTCTGTCGACAGATTCGCCTAGTTCTATGGAAGAATTTTACTATCCGACGTCGACGATGGGTTCGTGTGAAGCCTTGAAAGGTCAGGATGATGGAGTTTTATCTTATGTTTTCTAGCCTCGAGTGATCTTCGAGTTTATCTGGCCGTTATTTCTATTTCTTATCTTAATGTGGGTTCGAACACGGAATTTAACATTCTACTATGATGCTTGTAAGTTCTTATTCATGATTAACTCGACTTTTTTTCGAATCGATATAGGTTACAATGATCCAAAATATCTCGGTCCAACTGGCATTCTTCCTGCGATTCAAAGTTACATTTGTCGATGGAACAATACGTGCTATAATAGTTCAAAGATAATCGATGAATTTCAAAGCGAAACATCGTGCGTAGATACCTTGATTTTATATAAATATGTATGTAGTGATTTTGAAGATTTTGGAATGAATTCTCTTCGTTGACTGACAGTCTGTCGATCGTTTTACACGACGAGCAAGCAGCTCATTTACTGAGCGATATTTTCACTCAACTTAATTTATTACAAACGTCACTGAACATATGGAATGGTAAGAATTGATATTTGCCCAATGTCAAATATTGACTTAATTATTGAAGGTACTGTTCGAGCAAATAAAACGTCGAATGATTTCAATCAAACGATACCTGCAGCAATTATTAAGAATCTTTTTGAAAATGCCGTCAATTTATCGAATCTCCATCAGGCATGGTTTATGAATAAAACAGTAAAATACACATCGAATATCAATGTTGCAATAGAAATATATCTTGCAAGTGTTCGACCGAATAATTTCTATGTAAATTTGTATGAGAAAGTAAATTTGTGTATTGATTCAGAAGTGATTTTAGTCGTATCAATCAGCGGCGAGTATCAAGAACTCATTTTGTGGTAGAAATGAATCCCAACGAACTTTTCTCGTCGATTCATTGAAATTAATAGAGACACAAGGCTTTTTATGCACTAATTTGACGGCAAATGATTTGAAATCGTTCTTGATAAGTGTCCAACAGCAATTGGACGCAATCGTTTTAGTAAGAATGAGCTGAAAAGACAATAAAAACAGGGACATTTCGATTTCGTGTAGGCCGAACTGTGTCCGCAAATGTTTACTCTGCCAATTCATATGTTTCAGGTACATATCTTATCTTTCAATAAGCTTGTTGAACTATTCGACAAAATTTCAGATTGATAGTAAACTAAACGATTTGTATACACGATTGGAAGTGCTGAATGTTAGCTTTTCTTTGAACAACAGTGCAAATGGCATCAGGTAAGACAATCCATTCGATAAGATAGTTCTCTTTACCGAATTTTTCGTCGTTATCAATTCCCATGTTGTAGTCTGAAGTCTTTCTGCGGCGGTCGAAATGATCTTTCAGCTTTTTTCAATATTACTTCATCTACAACATCTCAAACTCGACAATCTAAATCCAGTGAAACTCGTACAACTGGTGATCAATCATTGATTTACTATGATTGGAATCAATTAGCGACCGATCTACTTTCTTACAATGCATCTCTTATATGTCATCAAACTTATGTAACAGGTTCGGGAAATATCGTTCAATTCGTTCCAACGAATCGTTCGTGTCGTTGTGTGCTTTTCGATCAAGTTTTCAACTCCAATAAAATTTTGAAACAATTCGCGAGATTTGTACGGCCAATTCTATATGGAAAAATCTATTATCACCCATCGAATGTTCACTATGATAGTCTTATCAAACAAATGAACCAAACATTCGAATCTCTTGATGAACTGATTCGATTGTTTCGACATATTCAATCAATAATTCAACTAAATATTGAAATATTAACAACAACCTGTAATTTGAACGTAACATCATCAGAGTTGTGCAAACAGTTATCATCATATCAAACAGCCCTGAGTCTATTTACTATTCTGACTGAATTTCTCGCTTGTACAGAACGTAATCGATTTGTTCCGATGGACAGTGAGCTAGAAATGGTAAACAGAGGAAAAAATAATACCATCACCAATGATTTTCTTGCGGCTATTCAATTTCTCGAAGATTTATCTGATAATGATACCTTACCAAAACATATGCGATTTAAAATCCGAATGGCACTTGACTATGTTGACAGCACCTTTCGTACTGAAGATCGGTAAATGAATTTCATCTCGATAGTTAGGTCTATGATCTTTCTTCTTAGTTACTTTTCGTATTCACCACGAACTACTGCTCCAAGTTCGACGAAATATTTTACTTATGTATTCATCTATTTGCAAAATGCACTTGAACGTGCGATTATCAGCGCGCACACAGGACGAAATGTATCCTTCGGTATTCAAACCCAACAAATGCCGTACCCATGTTGGGTTAACGATAAGTATACTATGAAATTTTTGCTATCAGAGTGAATTCATTTGAAGAGTGGTTAGATTCGTCACTTCAATCAGTCGAATGTTACCGTTGCTAATGGTGTTAAGCTGGATATTTACGGTATCAATGAATGTCAAAGATATTGTTCATGAAAAAGAACGGTAAAGTTTCCTACAGTGAAATTATAGAAAAAAGAATTGTCTCTATTACTTTTTTGAAGACGTTTGAAAGAAATCATGAGAATTATGGGTTTAAAAGATTCAGTGCATTGGCTTACCTGGTTTATTTTATGCACAACCGTGATGTTACTAATCGCTTTGTTACTTGCACTACTTTTAAAGGTATTCTATAGAATGTGATATGTACAGTCGAGAAAGATCTTTTTCTCGTAGTTTGGCAAACTCACACAATTTTCAGATCTTGGTATTTTGATCGTATTTTTTATCAGTTATACATTTGCGACAATTACGCAGTGTTTTCTCATAAGTGTCTTCTTCAATCGTGCTAACCTCGCGGCTTGTGGTAAGAACATAGACGAATTCGCTCACAATGAATTCTCTTCTTTCAGGAGCTGGTATCATCTACTTTCTGCTTTACTTACCGTATACAATTCTGATCAATTACGATACGCAAGTAAAAACGTGGCAAAAGATAATTGCTGTAAGAGTTCGTGCTGACCGAGAGAAAACTTTGTAGTTCGATTTCTAGTGTCTTTCATCGACTGTTGCTTTTGGACTTGGTTGTGATTATATAGCGCGTTTTGAAGGGATGGCTAAAGGTGTTCAATGGAGCAATCTGAATCAAGGGGTGAAACCGAATGATAACTTTACATTACTGTATTGTATTATAATGATGTTTATCGATTCGATTATATATATGTTACTGACGGTTTACATTGAAAATGTCTATCCTGGTATGTTTGTTGAGTGGAGGGCGAGGGCAGAGAGAATGTTCGGATGGATGTCGATTTTGATCTTTAGGTGAATACGGCATTCCACAAGTTTGGTACTTTCCATTTACAAAGACATATTGGTTTGGTTTTGACGCGAAGAAAATTCGACAGCGAACAGAAGAAATGAATCACGCAAATCCCACCGGTTTGGTTCCCGTATGTTCAAATTCATCTTAAGTTGTTTTTCTTCATATTTTAGTTACTGAGGAAGAAGGAGATATTGGAGTTAGTATTGACAAACTATCGAAATACTACGGAAATAAAATGGCGTTGAAGAATCTGTCAGTGAAATTCTATCATAACATGATTACAGCATTTCTTGGAAGAAATGGCGCAGGGAAAAGCACAACCTGGTCTATTTTAACTGGTTTGATACCGCCATCAAGTGGAACAGTTTATATCGATGGGTTTGATATATTAACCGATATAAAAATCGTACGAAAACGACTTGGCTTCGCTCCTCAGTATAATATTTTATTTGATCTACTAACCGTTCAAGAACATCTCGAGTTTTTCTCTGCGTAAGTTACATGTTTACTACAAGCATAGTCTTTTTCTTTTGTGTTCAGATTAAAAGATGCACCAAAGGAGTTGGTTGCAACCGAAACAGAGAGAATGTTGGATGACTTAGCATTAACAAAGAAAGCGTTGAATTATACTACTGAATTATCCGGCGGGATGAAAAGAAAACTTTCGATCGCCATTGCTTTTATTGGAAATTCTACAACCGTTATTCTAGACGAGCCGACTGCAGGTAATTACTTTGTCGAAGTAAACCTTACAGAGTGATAGACTGCATAATGAACTCATTAGGTGTTGATCCGTATGCCCGTCGAGCTATTTGGGATTTGATATTGAAATATAAACCCGGTCGAACGATCGTTTTGTCTACACATCATCTTGATGAAGCTGATTTGCTCAGTGATCGTTTGGCGATTATATCATCCGGTGAACTACAATGTGTAGGAACGACAATGTATTTAAAACGCAAATACGGTGAAGGTTACAATCTCATTGTTGAATTAGCATCAACCACAAACGAACATGACCAACGACAGGAGATTATCCTCAATCCCATAACATCGAAAAACTCGTCGCTAAATTCAATGCGATTTGCGAAATTAACTGATTTTCTTCGACAATATGTACCAGATATTCGCATTAAAGAACAACATGGTGATCAAATCACATATGTTCTACTAGATGATGCTAACCATACAAAAATATTTCCAACAATGCTTACGGAGTTAGACGCGAATAAATCGAAGTATAATATAAAAACTTACGGTTTATCGAATAGTAGTCTTGAACAAGTTTTCCTCCGTGTTGCCGATGAAATCAAACGACCGGAAGATTATGAACGCATGTCGCGCTGGGAGAAATTTTGGAGCCGTTTTAAACGACCGACTGAGACAAAAATAGAGATAGTTGAAGAGGAAAATAAAGATGAACAGATAGAAATGAATACTGGTATCAGTGGTAAGTGTTTGCCTTCTACAGATAGTTTTAGCTTTCCTTCAACACTCTGTTTCTAGACGAATGGAGTCCATACACAACTGATCGATATAGAGGCGCTCACCACGTCTTCATACAAATCAAAGGTTTACTAATCAAACGGTTTCATCGAACGAAACGTAACATCAAAGGCTTGATTGCAGAAATTCTTCTACCAATCATTTTCATTCTACTTGCTATGTGCGCAATCAAACTAGCACCGAATGAAAGCGAACCGCCACCGCTCATCCTTCATCCATGGTACTGGAGTCAGCCTAGTTATATGTTTCAATCACTGCCTACGAACAAGTCTTTGGTACTATCAAAAATAATTCAACAAACGTTCACGAAATCGCCTTCGTTGGGCACACGCTGTATGCCAACGACGATACTTAATAAACGATTGTACCCATGTTCACAATCGAACGTCGGTCATGTCAATGTCTCATCGAGTTTTGAAGTGATCGATGCATTGAACCAAGTTCACTACAATCAAACACGTATTTCACCTGAATGCGATTGTTGGCAGAAAATGCAAACATGCCCAGTGGGCGCCGGTGGACCAGCGAGAAGTTATGACAAGACCGAAACGAAAGACATTCTATACGATCTACAAGATTTCAACATATCAGACTGGCTGATCAAATCTGAATACAAGCTCGAATATCTCATGAAACGATTTGGTGGATTTGAATTTTTGTCGTATTTCATCGCAGATAAAATAGAACTACTCAATGAAACATTACTCGATCGCCTGGTCAATATCACCAATCCAAGCAATCAATCGTCATTAACTGTCGACAGTCAGAAAATAGCTCCATTGTTCCAAATCCATCCACCACAGGTTTCGGTACGTAAATTAATTTCTTTTTTTGTGAACATAGACGAAAATCTATGTGTTTCGAAGGTGTGGTACAATAATAAAGGATGGCCAGCAAGTGTTGCCTTTCTGAATGTCTTCAACAATGCTCTCCTACGAGCTCTTCTTCTACAAAATGATTCAACAATTGCAATTGATGATTATGGAATAACAGCAATCAATCACCCATTACCCCAAAGTGATATTCAAATCGATAGTGATCTACAAAATCGTGCTGCATTAGAACTATTTACGGCAATATGTATTATTTTCGCATTAGCTTTTATTCCCGCAAGTTTCCTCGTCTTTCTCATCGATGAGCGAGTAACCACATCAAAGCATCTACAATTCGTTAGCGGTGTTAATGGTAAGAAAAGATTTTCTTTCGTCGAAGTCGTCATCAAACGATTAAACAATTTTCTTTAGGAATAACTTATTGGTGCGCGAATTTCTTCTGGGATCTAACAAACTATTCGGTTTCAATCGTCTTTTGTCTGATCATATTTCTTGCCTTTCACATTGATGCGTATGTTGTTCCAACTAATTTCTTTTGTCTCATCTTATTACTGTTCCTCTATGGTTTCGCAATTATCCCGCTGATGTATCCAATTAGTTACCTTTTTCAAACGCCATCAACGGGTTTCGTACTTATCTCGTGTATCAATATATTTATCGGTTTAATAACTACAATCTCGACGTACACATTGGAAACATTCAATGATGAAGCAGATCTGATGCGAGTTAATAACATTCTCATGAAGTTATTCTTAATTTTTCCCCATTATTGCCTTGGCCGAGGACTATTCGACATAAGTCGAACGCATGCAATCAATGTCATCAGTGCTAAATACAGTTTGTGTTGACATACAGAAGATTCTTAATTTCACATCTGAATATTCTCTTTTAGTTACAGGTTACGTTTCCGTCTCACCATTCCAAACGAATATTGTCGGACGAAATCTGTTTGCTTTGTTTCTCGAAGGAATTTTGTTCTTTATAGTGGCTATTCTTGTTCAATATCGATTCTTTATTCCTGATCGGTGAGTATGAATAGAAAGGATAAATCTTCTCTTGACTTGCGTTCTTATAGAGGTTGCATTCGCATGCCGAATGATCTTAAATCGGTATACGAAGATGAAGATGTTGCGAATGAACGCGCACGCATCCATGGAGATCAAAATAATACAAGTAATGATGTTTTACGCCTAATTGATTTAGTGAAAGTAAGACAAGTTTGCAGGTGATTAAGATACTTATCTATCGAAGAATCTTCTTTAGATCTACGGACGAGCTTGTCGTCGACAATTTGCTGCCGTGAAACAAACCTGTGTTGGTGTAAAGCAAGGTGAATGTTTCGGTTTGCTTGGCATCAACGGTTCGGGAAAATCCACTACATTCAAAATGCTCACCGGTGAAATATCTATGACAGATGGTAATGCCTATGTGAACAACAATAGTGTTATCAAACATTTGGACAAAGTTCGTCAAGATATCGGGTAGAAGAGATCTTCTTGATTCTTGATCGAAATTAAACTAGACATTTTCATTTAGTTATTGTCCACAGTTCGACGCACTTGATGTTTTGCTAACAGCGCGAGAGCATCTCTACTTCTATGCTCGCCTACGTGGCATAAAAGAGAAAAATATTTCATTCGTAAGCGCTTTTCTGGTTGATAAACTTCTAACTCATTCCTGTTCTTGTTAGATTGCGGAGTGCCTATTAAATCAATTTGGTTTAACCCTATGGGCGGATCGACCTTCTGGACACTATTCGGGTGGAAATAAACGAAAGCTATCGACGGCGATTTCCTTAATCGGAAACCCTTCAATTATATTCATGGATGTGAGTGCTTTTCAACATGTCATTCCAAAACGAGCATACGACTATCTTCCGTCTGTTTCACATTGATTATTCAATAGAATTCATGTTTAATGCCTATTCTATTCTGATGAACGAGAGCAGCAGAGTCACGAAGTCAAAAATAGTTTTTAATTAAATGGAGCAAAATTTAATATTGACAAATGAATAAACTAAATTTAATTTCTATTTAGGAACCAACAACAAGAATGGATGTACGTGCGAAACGCTTTCTATGGAATTGTATCTTGAAACTGACGCGTCAGGATCGAAAATCTGTTGTGATCACTTCGCATTCGATGGAAGAATGTGAAACTCTATGCAACCGTATTTAGAAAAAGATCGATTTATTCGAAAATAAATCACCGAAAATCTTCTCGTTTAGGACTCGTCATAATGGTAGCCGGAGAATTCAAATGTCTAGGTAGCGTTCAACATTTGAAAGAAAAGTACGCTGAGAGACTTTCTCGTTTTCGTTGCTCAACAAAAAGCACGCTTCTGTCTAGATTTGGTGATGGCTATACAATTCTAATTCGTACGAATGTTGACGTCAACCGGCAAATCGTGATTGATTACATTCAAAAATCGATTCGGGAAACGATCGTTAAAGAGGAACATAATAAGATGATTCATTTTCGCGTATCGCCCAATGTTTCTCTACACAGAATGTTCACTGTGCTCGAAACTGCTCGAGAAGAGCTAATCAATCTTATAGAAGATTATACAGTCACCCAAGTGACACTTGACGATGTATTTGTTAATTTTGCTAAAGCACAACAAGATAATTCGGATATGGCGCACAAAACTGACAATGAAGATCTTTATGAGCTAACTTGCCGAAAAGTTAATCGGATTGGTGGGTTTAAGCTTATTTTCCATCAGCCTAGTTCGTCGAAATCTTTCTTTCTAGGGCCGGTCTGAATACACGGGATTACATGATGTCATTCAATATACTCTTCTTCGTCTTTCTCTTACAGAAAAACAATAATTCTATTTTTTTTTCAGATCAATATTTTTTTTTCTCTTATTTTGTTTTATGATTATTTAAATATACAATCTTGAAAACGAGACAAGACAAATGCACTAGTAATAGTTTCTTTGTTTTTATTCTTTATTGACATCGATAAATAAGAATGATATGAGCAAGAATTGCATGCTTTCTAACTGAATAACAAAATGTTGTTATGCCTTTTGATTCGCCATTTGTTGTCGGGTTAAATCTCTTATTGAACGTTTTCGACCACTGAGTGGACTCATACAACAAAATCGACCTAAAATCTATTCATGTAGAAGCATTTCGATAATCAAACAGTAGATCTTACGTTGTACGGTTGATTCAACTGGTAATGCAACGACTTTTTCATTGTATAATGCATCCTCTACTGGACTAACGAAGTTTTCCAAGGCCAATTGTCGAAGAAGAGCACGGCGTACATCGTCATCTTCATTCTAAAAATAATACATATATCAGACATGCAAAAAGTGTACTCAATTAAGATGATTAGACGAATAAATTGATCGATTTTGTTTTCTCCAGTCGACCCGGTTAGCCTTGTGTGCGAAACAATAGTGTCGCCTCATAACTATATACATATAAATCCGTCTGGTAGTTCAAGTGATCTTATCACTAACGACAAGGTCAATATCTCTTCGCTTGGAAACGCTTGCATTTAGGTCAAGGCAAAGGATTATGTTTATGTTAATCGCTTTGAGTTCAACATGAATTGCGAAGAACGTTTCACAGACATACCTGATTGAAATCATCATTCATTAATCGGAACGAACGAACAAAGAGAAATTGATTGAGAATGAGAAGAAGTACAAATAGATAGAAGATTGTCATTGACGAGCTGGTTTGTTGTTTTCTAATGCCAAACATGATGAAGATCTTTGGTGATTGAGTGTAAGGAAAATGTTTTCAAATGATCTAAGTTATGTCGGGTGAAGTTCGAAGATATAGAAATGCGCCAAGGAATCTTTTAAATGATCTCTCCTACACAAAGCGGAAATGAGAAAGAACGTGACAAGCGATAAAGCTTTCATCGATCGGGAAAATAGAGAGAAGAAGAGAGAAAGAGAGACAGACAGACAGACAGACAGAGGGGGGAGAGAAAAGACGAAATACACGGAACCGGTTTAGTTTTTCTCTCTCTCTCTCTCTTTGTTTACCAAACGACGTTCTCGCACATTAGAATTTACAGGTTAGAACAGTTGTCCTATGTGAGGCTATAAATATTATGAATAAGAAGACGGTATACACGTGGGTGGAATTAAGAGCATTAAAATACATTGGAAGGTTCATTTGATAGACAAGTACGGTGGTGTTGTCCTGTGAAAAGAGGCTTATAATCTAATCAAATCTATATTTGAAGATCGTATGCATCAATCAATGTCAGAAATGTTCGTTGTATGATGAACACTAAGTGTTTGCAACATGCAAACTTATTTCTCGAAGAAAAATCCATAGTTAATCATTTCAATTAGCTAATTTATCTCTAGAATAGGATATTATTCTTGTTATTTGTAACAACTACGTAGTTCGTTTTGACTTCACAGTGAAGAAATATTTGCCGAACGATATTTCGTTGTGTCTTGTTCGGAATTCAAAATCGCTACTGCGTGACGATATTTACAACTAAACGGAAGGAAATGAATAATAAAAACATACTATGCAAATTATATAACGTACTCCGACGCTTTCGTTACTGATCATGTTTTAGAATTCCTAATGATATTTTTATTAATAAATAAAACGAAATCTGATGAATAAACGAGTAGTAAATTGATGAGAAAACTCATTTCAAGGGATCAAGAATATTATTTATTTGAACTTTCTAAAAAAACTATGATATTTTATCAAAAGAAAACAAAATACACTATGCAGATTAGTGTTCGTGTTAGTGGTTTACTTACAAATTCGAAAAACAAACAAGAAGTCAGATAAAAAATATTCAAAGATATATAGAAGAGATAATGTAAACAGTAGTATTCATCACAGATCGAGTTAGGAAAATTTAGTTGTACATTTATACATCGGACATCATTGGCTTGGGAAAGTGGTCACTGGGTTTAGATGAAGATGAAGTACTTGTATCAGATGGGATATTATTAGTCGATTTTGTATTACCAAAAGAATCTAAATAGAAGAATCATACATTCGACTTTGCTTCACGTCTGATTCAGACGACAATTTCCGCCAATGCTTACTTTGAACGTTCGGTTTCTGTTCATGATCGGCACCTTGAAAGCCATGAATATCTACCGAATCATCTTCGCTGTCATCATGATCCACTGTCCACATTTTTCTACCTCTGCCCACTCCAGAAATCTGTCGCATTAGAGCAACACCTGGTCGTTGTAATGGAACGGAATAGCCAATGTCAAAGGACGGCTTTTGACATAACCACAGCGAACCCATTTTTTTCACTTCATCACTTTTGTTTTCAATTAAGAATGATGAATTGGAATCCAGTGGATTGCAACTATCAAATCCGCACATTTTGAAGTTATTGATAATCCGAGCTTGTTCAGCATGTTCGATGTGAGTGAACAGATAACCATTTGGACGGAGTACACGAAAAAATTGAGTGATTAGGTCAGTATCGATCGCTGAATCCTTCTTATTGATCAAATCGAAGAAAATCAGATCGATCGAAGATGTTGCACGTCGAGCTGATTGATTTTCAAAAAAGAACTCATTGTTTTCTTACAATTTCAAAAATCGACTTACATTGTGAGAAGTCTTGCACTTTCTCCGGCGCAATTTGCGCTGTTTTCGATTTCGTTCGCACCGTATCTTGAAATGCCGACAGCTTGTCTTGATCAGCATCTACTGTCCAAAGAATGAGAATATTTTTGGCATTACCAAGTATCTCGTCCATGATACTATTTTATCTACAAATAGCGACATTTTCAATACGCGATACTAGCAAATATCAACATTCGATTAGTACTGCTTCAATGCATCTTTTCATCGGTAGTGCGTAAATAAAATGTATTGAAGTCGAATGGCGACCCTATTGAAATAGTTTAGCACGTTCGACGACTTTTTTCTTTTGCACTGATTTATCAATATTCGAATGTCAATATTTATCTTCATCGAATCGGATGATTGAGACAACGAGAAACAGATAAGATTTTCTTCGTTTCTTTATTTCAAACAGAAAAGAACGCATATATTGAGTCCATATTAAAGAGAAGATGAAACATACACACGTAGAGACAGTACAAAAGATGATGAAAGCAAACGAGAAAGTGTGTGCATATTTGTGGAATCCAAGACAAAGAAGAATGAAGAAGAAGAAATGACAATTCGAAGACAATGTAGGTGAATGAAAGGAAAAAATATGTTGAAATTCGTTTCTGTTGAAATAATCAGCACCATGACAATTGTCTCCGGGTTTGTTTGTTTCTGTTGTAGAGAATATAGACACGGACAGAGGAAAAAACCAAAAAGAAACAAAAAACAAGAAAAGAAAACTGAACTAGATCATCTCTATTTACACTCATACAGTTGAAGAGAATAAGAAAGAACAAGAAAAACTGAATTTAAGAAAAAAAGAAAGAAAGTGACAAATCGATGATGTTCACGTTTTATTCTTTGTGTTTGTATATACACACGTATAGATATTCTTTTTAGAGCGTCTTTACGCGTATTTGTAGAAAGAAAGAAAGAAAAATATATATGTATATGTAATTATAAATATAAGATACTATTATGGGATCAGTTCGAACTGTCATTCATGGATAGTTGAGCTGTTCGAGCTGATGCACTTGTTGTCGAACGTTTCGGATATGAACGAAGATATTCATCATCACTCAATTGATTTACATCTGGCCGATCGCGGACATTGTACGTTAAACAACGTCTGATGAATGTCTAAGAAAATCGATTTCGCTTTCGATCGTTAATACGTTCATATTTTGCACTTACTTTTGCTCCATCGGATACGATTGGTTTGGCTGGAAATTCCACTTCTTTGGCTTTTAGTATTGTTTGATTTTCTAATATTGCAGCTTGGGATTGATTATGTCCATAAGGTTTTCGTCCGTATAAACACTGGAAAAAAATACAACCTAAACTCCATACATCGACTTTTGAAGAGATTTTTGGAGGGTTCGGTCCTTGAACAAACACTTCCGGTGGAAGATACCAATAGGTTCCTGCACCTTGCGAGGTTAAATCCATGCCGTGTTCAGGATCATAGGTGTCTTCACACATCTGTTTACTTAAGCCGAAATCTGTGATTTTGATTTCTCCGCTACTGGTAGCAGTGCCCAATAAGATATTCGCCGGTTTAAGATCGAAATGAATCACAGGTGGTTTGATGCCATTGTTCAAATATCTTAGCGCACTGACAGTTTGCATAACAACTGATCGAGCTTCTTTCTCTGGAATATATTTGTGTTGTTTTAAGAAGAAATCAATGTCATTGCCTTCGATATATTCAAGGACAGTACAGAATCTAAACAAATGCTTCGATGTGAGATGAAACATAAATGGAAGTATTTCACTCTTACGAATCACTATCAATTTCGAATACATCGTACAAGCGAACAATTCGAGGATGATCAAGTGTTTTGAGTATATCACATTCACGTAATGCATGTCTATGAACAACGAGATATAACAATTAATTTTGATTGAAGAAATGATTCTTACTTGATGTAATTCGCTTTCTTTTCTTCTTTCCATTCTTTGTTGAGTTGATGAACTTTAACTGCAACATATCGTTGTTCTTTCAAGCAGAATGCCTACAAAGATTGAGAAGAATACTGAAAAAGTATTATACAACAAGTTTACTTACTTTATGAACTTCACTGAAACCACCTTTTCCAATCAATGTTAACAGTAGATATCGTTCATTGAGCACAGGATGGTCTTGGAATCTAGAATAACGACAAATAGACATCAAATGTGTTTATCCATCTCATTTACCTGGAATGATCTTCATTGTAGATACGTTTCAATTCGCGTATATGCAAATTTCGTTCTCTTTCAAGTTTTTCATATTCTATTTGAAGATCCATCTCTTCTTTCTTCAGGGATGCTTGACGCAAACGTAGGATTTCATCTGATTCATTCCAATCACTGACTAATAACCTGTAATAGACAGACACACGACGGAAGAAATTGAAATAATAGATTTTGTACACTTTGTTCCACTTACGCTTTATTTGCATCATTACTTGTCTTCATATCGTCATTGCTACTTTCATCTTGAGGTACAAATCCACCCGTGCGATCCTTCATTCTGGATTTGGAATTCGGCGTTTTCGGTGGCTTCTCTTTCACTTCGCAATTCGGTCGACGACGTAGTAGGTTACGCCGTTCACGGTCGAGCTCTTCTCGCGCCCGTTGTAGCATTTCTTGTTGTCTAAAAGAAAATTTTCATGAAATCAAAATGAAAAAAGCAAATAAACAAGGAAAATTCGATCGTACTTAGTAATATCAGTAAATGCGGAACCGTCTGTCCAATTTTCTACAAATGTTGCGCCTTGTCGTTGTGTCACAAATTGACCTAATCTTAATCGATTCTCCATACATTTTTGTCGTGCTTGTTTGCGTTCTAATGTTGACTAAACAAGGAAGAGAATTTCATTTTCGTTCTTTCGTCATGATACCAATTATTAAACTTACCTTTTCGACGAGCAATTTTTTATTCACAGCCAGACATTTTTGCAGAATATTATTTTGTTTGTCGAAATCCCTTTTCGTTTCGGCTATTTGTCGACGTAACTCATCTCGTTCCTAGAAGAAGACAACAAATCACGATTCTTTTTTTCGAAAGAACTCAACTTTCTCAATTCTTACTCTAGTTAAACTTTGTATTTGACTGTTCTTGGCATCAAGTTCGCTGGATGCAGAATTTATCGATC